TCCAGCCTCAGAAATGGGTCTAGCGCCTTGAAAAACAAGTAATTGGTAATTAAAAGTAACACCAATGCACAGAAGGTGCTTAATACTTGTTTTTCACTAGCCAAAACCCACTCAAAGTCTGCACAACATGTGGCTGAAGGCCAAAACTAAATCAGAAACTTTCTAACCTAAACAAATCAAAAATAATCAATCAACTTACTCATCTGACGACTGGCAATCTGTTTAATTACATGTTACAAGAAATTGGTTAGTAAGAAGCACAGTGAGAATGTGACTAGATGTTAACTGATATAAAAATAACATTACAAACACAAAACTTGACATGAAACGATGACAGTCGCTGTTCTTCTGCCGAAAATGTGTCCGACACAGCGGAAAAAGCCCTGGGGTCTGCAGGACTGCAGCCAGCCCCAAACCGACTGAGTTCCGGCGCAAAGCCAGTACTCGCACTATAAAAAAAAACTCTGAGGCGTGACATTGGTGGGACACTTGGTGGACAAGTCACGGCTCAGACCTAACCTTCTGCGTAAATAGCGACTATTTCTTTGATATACTGGACCACTGTCTAGCTTGACAATGTAAGATCTAGGTACATTTGCAAACCCTACTATGTGACCTGGTACCCAAATGCTCTTTCGTAAATCATACACAAACACTAATTCTCCTAAATTAAACTCAGCTTTAGGCTTTACAGTTCGGTTATAATAATCTTCAGATTTACTCTGTTTATCTAACAATGTTTCTTTCACCTCAGTAGGTACCCTTGCGTTTAATAACCTCTTATTGATAGGAACCTTAGTTCTTAATCTACGATTCATTAAGGCTTGAGCTGGACTAACTCCATTCACCGTAGGCGTATTACGCAATTCTAAAAGAGCGATTTGGAAATCGTCTTTTGACTCTCTACACTTTTTAACAAGTTTCTTAACTGTTTGTACAGTCCTTTCTACCTGCCCGTTGGATTGAGGGTACAAAGGACTAGTATTAATCACTTCAAAACCCCAATTGTTAGCAAATTCTTTAAATTCAAACGAACCGAATGGGTTATTGTCTGCTACCACCTTAAGAGGAATTCCATGAACAGAAAAAATCTTTTTCAGATGAACTATTGTTTCAGATGCACTCTTTGACCTAATTTCCACACATTCGACCCACTTAGAAAAGTAATCTATGAGAAGAAGATACAAAGTAGGCCCTATTTCAAAAATATCAACAGCTACTTTGTGGAATGGCAAGTCTGGTATATCATGTGATATCATTTTTTCTTTTGCTTCTGCATTCATGTACTTATTACAAATTTGACAATTCATAACTAGCTGCTCAATGTCTACCGTAATACCTGGCCAATAAATCAATTCTCGAGCCCTAGCTTTTGTCTTTTCAATGCCAAAGTGGCTTTCGTGTAACAACTTTAACATACTTGATCTTAAGCTTAAAGGTACTACTATTTTCCCATCTAGAAAAACAAGACCCTCATTCACTATTAAGTCATTTCTCTTGCTAAAGTATACCTTTACACATTCAGGAATCTTTTGCTTACTAGGCCAACCTTCTTGAAAATATTTACATACCAAACTTAAGGCTACATCATTTTTTGTTGCTTCCTTAAACTCTACCTTTTTACACTCAGATAAAGCTAACTCATCAAGAATTACAACATTATCTACCTTGCCCATCAGTTCATTGATAGGCTGACAACTATCTTCCTTTGAGAGCTGGTCCGCCTCATTAAGTTTCTTAGTCCGAGAAAATAAGTCTGGAATTACCATACTTTTGCCAGGGCGATGCTTGATTGTTAGGTTATACTTGAGCAACTTAAGCTTAAGGCGTTGAAGCCTAGGCGACATTATCTTATGCATTGGTTTTAACATGAGAGACTCAAGGGGTTTACAATCATTATATACAATAAATTTATGCCCGTACAACAAATGATGATACTTACGAACAGCTATTACGACACTTAACAACTCTTTCTCTACCTGAGAGTACTGAATTTCTGTAGGCGTAAGACTCTTAGAACCAAAGCTGACCGGTTTGTCATTTTGAATTAAACAAAATCCTACACCATCTTTTGACGCATCTGTGTGCAGTTCTAACTGCTTACTACAATCAAAGGGCACAAGCACAGGTGCCGTTGTTATGACCTTCTTTAGATCTTCTATACACTTAGAATGCATAGGTAACCAATACCACTGAACATTAGATTTTAGTAACTCTCTTAACGGACTTATGATTGTGGACATATTAGGCACATATTCTCTAAAATAGTTAAACATACCTAATACCCTTTGCAATTCTTTCTTACTTGTAGGGTACGGTAGAGTTGTTACGGCTTCTACATGCTTACTGTCAAGTTTAACACCTTCTGCACAAAAAATATGCCCTAAAAAGCTAACCTCACTTAGCCTATACTGAAATTTCTTAGGATTAAACCTAACGCCATTCTCTCGGGCACACTGAATTACTTTTTGCAAAATAACATCATGTTCATGTACATTAGGAGCAGAAATTAATAAATCATCATAAAAAGCAGTAACACCTTCAATGCCTGTAAATATTTCAGAATTCATGTTATGAAATACTTGAGGAGCTACAGAAATTCCAAATGGGAGTCTACAGAATGAATAACATCCAAACGGTGAGCTAAATGTACACAAGTCTGCTGACTTAGAATCAAGCTGTACATGCCAAAAACCATCTTTTAAATCTAATACAGAAAAATACTGCTTACCGGCTAGCTTAGACTTGATTTCTTCCATGGTAGGAATAAGATAAGGTTCAGGTTTAATATTTTTGTTCAGTTCTTGCGGGTCTAAACACAGCCTCAACGACTTGTCTGGTTTTTCCACGATTACCAAATTACTAACCCAACTTTTGGGCTCTGGATTTTTGCAAATGATGGTGTTTTCTTCTAGGACATTGAGGGTCTCCTTCAGCTTTGGAAGTACCGCATAAGGTACTCTCCGGGGAGGCTTTGCAACCGGAGCTGCATTTTCATTTATTTTGAGTTCATACACTTTGGGAAAACAACCTACTCCTGTAAATACATCAATGTTCTGCTCAACAAATTCAGTTTTGTTGATAGGTTGTAGGCCTACTTCAACATTTTGGACTCTCACGATTAGATTTAATTTCATACAAGTCTGTAACCCCATTAAAGGAATACACTTAACGTTATCCACAACAATAAACTCCACCCTTGACATGAGATTGTTACAGGTACAAACTAAAGTTACTTTTCCTACGGGAACCAACTTGAAACCGCCATAGGATTCTAACTTTAAATCACATTTTTCAAGTTTACTATCAGGTGAACATTTCTTCAAGGTTTCTAATGGGAGTAAATTTATTTCCGCCCCCGTGTCCAACTTAAAAATAACATCCGTATTGTTGATTTTTGCTGTTTGTAACCAGCCTTTCACTTCCTCCTTAACATTTGGTTTAAGAGAATCGAGAGCATCAATTCGAAAGTTATGTGGGTCTGGATCAACTCCATACACTTCATTAACATGCTTTTGCATTCCTACAGGTTTATTTTTAGCTTTAGGCTTTGTACATCCCACTACAAAATGATTCAGTTCGCCACAATTAAGACATTGCCTTTTATAAGCTGGACAATTAAATCTAACATGATTTGTCCCACACTTTTTACACAGATACACATTATCTTCATTACCTTTAGCATTACCTCTGTAGCCTACCTTCGTACTAGGCTTAGGCCTATGGTACTGTTGCTGATGTCTTCCGCGACCACCTTCAACTGCATGCACAACTTCTTCTTTGATCTGACTCGGTCCATTTGAGGCTAAACTAATTTCTGTTTCTTGTTTAGGCCTTAATACTGGTACTGATGGTCTATCACCATTGGACTGTAATAGATTAGGCCTACGATTTCCACACAATGCCGAAAACTGCTCCCTACTTGCTTCGGACAGTTGGCAATGTTTAATAGCCTCATCGAGTTTAAGGTCTGGGACCCTGAGCAACCGTTCTTGCAAGTTCTCGTCCCTTATACACAAAACTAGTCTGTCCCTTATTAAACTATCCTCCTGCTCCCCAAAGTCACAAAAGGACGCAAGTTTTCTTAAGTCTGTAAGAAAATGTATGAAGGGCTCGGACTCTTTCTGGACTCTTTTAAAAAATAAAAACCTTTGGTATACAATGTTCTTACGAGGGTTAAAATACTTATCAAATGCTGTAAGGACATCGTTCAATTTAAGTTTATCAATGTCCCCCAACTTAAAAGTTTGAAAAATGGCCAATGCCTCCCTCCCAATCACATTCAACAACTGGGCAACTTTAATTTCATCACTTTTACTCCCAGCCTCTGTAGCTTTTAGAAAGAGAAGAAATTGTTGTTTAAATATAGTCCATTCATGAGCAACATTTTCTGTGATATTTAATGGTTCTGGCGGTTTAAAAAATCCGATGCTCGCCATGCTTTCATTGTACTTACCAATTAGGCTTAATTACTTACAAGGCTTTTTCTTAACATCTTCACCCACTTGCAATGATTTAGACTGCGCCATATTCTAATTTGTATTCATTTAATTAATTATTTAGTTGCAAGTGGGGCTTTATTAATAAATATACAGATTTTACTGGTTCTACATAACTTTTATTAACTTCACACAATACTTGATTTACAGATTACATGTTCTCTATTTGAAGGCCAAAATCAGAGAGAGCGAATTAACGGTTTCGCTCCAAAATCCATGAATAAGAAAAACAAAGAATAAACTCCACGTCATTGCTTATAAAGTACAAAAGGAACAACATAGAGTAATGAGCTCTTACAATATAACACAACTTATAACAGATAAATCTGGCATTTTTAAGGAGATACGGTAATTTAGTGTTCATGCATCACAGTTACCATTGTCAGTCATTTTGTTCCATGTTTACCCTTACTATATCAATATGGTTGTGCTGTTTAATTTCTTTCAGTGCAGTGTTGTACTGTAGGTTGTTAATTACTAAATCAGCCTCTTCTGTTTCAGGACAGACACACATTAAGTCGTAAAAGTGTCGTCCCTCTACCACTGATGAGAGCAAACCCAGAGACTGATCCTAATGCTCTTTTCCCCAAAGGTTCCGTAGGTAAGTGGAAACAACAGTAACGTTAAAGAGTTAAGCAAACATTTTTTATCACTGATGGAAACCAAATTTGGTTTGTGTTAGGATACTCAAATTCCACCTTATCTTACAAAGGAAAATAGGCCTACCTAAGGCTGGTTACACCCCAGTGTCATTGACATCATGTCTGAGACATCTTTCGTGTCGGAGGCATGTCATACGTGAAACCAAAACATGTTATCAAATCAGAGCTTAAACACACTGCTTTTGACACATGTCAATTTCCATAACATTGTCAGTGTATCAGACATGTATCGCACAAGAACGGTTGATCAGTGTTTGGTGAGAAATTTTGTACATCAAGCGTAGCCCATGGGACTGGCACTCATCCTCGAAGTAACAAGGATGTTCAACCATCTACAAAGCATGCTTTGAATGGTTAATTGATCATAGTGCTGAGTTTAATATGGAAGTTTTCTTCAAACAAGTGATTGTTAGATCGTAACAAATTGGCTTGATTTTGCACTAGAGAATGGGTCAAACCTATTTTAAAACCTGCACCGTTGGCAATTTATTAAAATTAACATCAATCCTTTGTCTTCTAAATACATTTTATACTGCATTGCAAAATAAATGACACAAACATGCATGTCTCTTTTAACTCCATCATAAACGTGTCTTACAACATGATTTATGCAACACCGTGTGTGTAACCCACCTAAAGCAACAAAAACCAGCACAGAAAACTCAATAGGTAGATACAAGAAATATTCGACGGTAAAATTTAATAGAAAACTTTTAACAGTTTTGATTTTGTCTGCCTTTCTTCATTTGAATGCTCTTTAAAAGAATACAAAAGCTACTACAGTATCGGAATACTCTGTTTCTATACTAATTTTGACATGTTCCAGCTTCCTTCCTCGTGGAAGCAAGACGAGACTATAAATCATCGTGGAACTTGTGTTTTATCAAACGATGATAGACAATGAGTCCAATATGCAATAAAAGTCATGTTTCAAAATAGTTTTAATAAAACAACCTCCCCTATTCACCGTTTCAAAATCTATGGAGCCTTTTGAAGCATCCAAAAAGAGTTGTAAAGCTTTAACATACATACAACCTCTGTCTGAAAAAGTACTGCAAAGAGTTATTAAAAGGTCTAATCTGAAATATAGGTACCAGTGTGTAGAACCATAAAACAACTGTAAAACCCATTTTACTTCAAATACCTAAAAATCAATGTCATTTTTCAGTGATGGCGCTGTTCCCACAGACAACCTGCTTTTACAAGGCAGTCGTCAACCAGCTGCCGCAGACATTCACAGACGATTACGAGTTGTTGTTTGAGGACTCGACGTATCCGGATGGTTACGCGCCTCCTCTCAACGTGCCCCAGCGTTACGTCATCGAGATCAAGGACAAGAAGGACAAAAGTCAATCCTGACAGCAGGAGTCGTTGTCTCAATTGTTGGCCATTTTCTAGGCTTAATGAGAAACTTTCAACCGCGGTGATTGTGATTGGGGTGTGTGAAATAACATTGGTATTAAGTGCACAAGGGACACGTACGTTTTGTATACAGGGGTAGAGCTTAGGACTATCACGAGTGTTTGTGTCGGTGTTTGCAGTTTTCAGGATAGTCTGGTGATAACAGAGCTCCAACTCAGGAACAAAAATTTGTTTTCTTTCAAAACCAGAACCAGTAGTTCTTGTATGAAGCGTTTTTGCATAATATACTGACTGGTATAAATTTGAAACCACTACAAAAAAAACTGGCACCTAAAATCAAATTTTGTCATGTCATGTTCGGAAGCCTCAATAAGTTATTTGAAAAGTCTTGTATTTACATGTTGTGTACGTAGTAGTTATGTGTAGTATAATGTTGTCTTTTCTCCCACCTCATAGGATCTCTGTTGTAAAATAACTGTCTAGAATCTAAATTCATCATATTTTTAACTCATTTCCAAGTTGTGTAGGTAAAATAAACTAAAATTAGTTTCTACTTGTGGTGTAAAGATTGCTGATGTTTTAGTATCAATGTTACAAGTTACAATGAATGTTTTACGCATTAGACTTTGAGAATACAGAATACAGAGTACTTTATTCGTGAGCATCAAGCACAGAATGGTGTCAATACAATTGTCAATACAATTGAGAACTGATTTTTGCGTGTGAAGTGGTTGTTGTAGAATTAGTTATGCTTCAATGTATTGCAAAGATAACAATATTTTCAGTTTTTAATAGTTTTGTACGTAGACCTAAACATTAAAATTTGTATTTCAGTGTATTTGGTTCAAATATTGTACTCCTTATCAACCAGTTGTTGTGGATTCTTCACCAACCATAGAATATAGGAATATAGGCAGCATTACCTGTAGAATAATTAACTTTTTTTGGTATGCTTGGATTCGTTTTTTTCTTGGAGTCACTTTTTTCAGTCAAGTTTTCTTGTCAATTATATGAAGTATATCAATCAGAAGCAAAACATTAAAATTTGTTTTAGTAATGGTACTTAATGAGTTTTATCATGTGAGAATTCTATTTGTCTATGGTTCTACCTATTTATTTTAAATACAAATTATGGTGACGGTGAGCAAACTTCAGTTTGCCTACATTATCTATGAATGGGCAGGGTCCAATAACTTACGTAAATTTTAATAAAACATTTCTCACATGATAAAACTCATTAAGTACCATTAACAAGACAAAGTCAGCTGTGCTGCAGTTAGCATACGTTCTGGCATCCACCGCTAGGATTGCCGTGTAGGTATGGTGCACACAGCTGCAGCGTCTGCTGGTAGCATACGGCGAGGAGCCGATGACAGCAGCGAATCAAACACCGAGCAGCACATCGTGGAACCTTTCTTTGACAGTAGATATTTATTCTAAAGTAATTATAAATCGTACACAATTTGTAAAGGTTGCAAAAAGAATACAAACATTTGTTCAAAAAAGTGTATTTAAAGATTTTACCATTTACATGTTAAAACTAAAGGAAATTTCTGATAATCATAAATTGATGTAAAAGTGAAAACTTTGCACATTACAATAGCCTATACAACACAGGAACAAATTTTTGCATACAGTTAAAGTTGAAATGTTTTCTGATTGGTGGTTCTGAAAGTTTTGTCTTTAGGCAAAAGGCAATAAAACATGCATCGTCAAAGATGAAATTAAAATCACATTCTTTTGGCTGAATTGACGTACCAACAAAGTTACAAAGAATCTACACATGAAATCAATACGGAAAATAGTATGATCCTCGCCTTCTGGAACAAACAACAAATACAGTTAGTAATAAGTATAATATTGAGAATATAGAGCCCTTTACTACTTTACTCACTTCCCAACCTACCCTCCTGACGACAAAGACCTTAGTGTGAGTCAAGGCTTGGTCGGAGAAGGGTGATATTTCCTGCATGTGGAGAAATATTCTCAGTTTGAGTAGTACAATCTGTTGTACAGTACAGGTGGTGCGATCTTTCGTCTGTAAAACCACGCCCTTATTTAGTCTGTAGGGGACACTCTTGAATATAGTAGTTAGTTATGTAATTATTGCATATACAGGGTGGCTGAAAAGTAACTTGCACCCCCCCTTAACTATTCAACCATTTGAGATATTTGAAATCGGTTTGCGGCAACCTTCTTAGATATGAGGGGCTACAATAATTATGGTCAATTTTGAAAATTTTGCCCTTAGGGGTAGCGTGGGTAGAGGGTACCGTAGCTCAAAATTTTCGAATGACAAGTATAGTCGAGTTTGGTATCATTTTACAGGTCTTGACGAAACAAAAAAATTGACATAAAGAAAACCAAAATCGGCTCACTAATAACAAAATGGCGCCCTAAAACGTTTCAAATCCAAATAACCATGAGGGTGGCAAAAAAATTAACTTGCACCCTCTTTAACTTTTTAACTATTTGAGATATTTGAAATCGGTTTGCGGCAACTTGTTTGGAAATGAATGGCTACAATAATTATGGTCAGTTTTGAAAATGTTGCCCTTAGGGGTAACGGGGGTATGGGGTAGCTCGAAATTTTCAAATAGCAAGTATAGTCGAGTTTGGTATCATTTTACAGGTCTTGACGAAACATAACAAATTATATAAAGAAAATAGAAATCGGACCATTAATAACAAAATGGCAGCTAAAAATGATTGAGACAATGGTTATTTAAAGTAATTTTGAACTGGCATTTTGTTATTAATGGTCCGATTTCTATTTCCTTTATGTTAATTGTTATGTTTCGTCAAGACCTACAAAATGATACTAAACTCGACTATACTTGCTATTTGAAAATTTTGAGCTACCCCCTACCACCGCTACCCCTAAGGGCAAAATTTTCAAAGCTTACCATAACTATTGTAGCCCTTCATATCCAAACAAGTTGCCGCAAACCGATTTCAAATATCTCAAATAGTTAAAAAGTTAATGAGGGTGCAAGTTAATTTTTTTGCCACCCTCATGGTTATTTGGATTTGAAACGTTTTAGGGCGCCATTTTGTTATTAGTGAGCCGATTTTGGTTTTCTTTATGTCAATTTTTATGTTTCGTCAAGACCTGTAAAATGATACCAAACTCGACTATACTTGTCGTTTGAAAATTTTGAGCTACCCTCTACCCCCGCTACCCCTAAGAGCAAAATTTTCAAAATTGACCATAATTATTGTAGCCCCTCATATCTAAGAAGGTTGCCGCAAACCAATTTCAAATATCTCAAATGGTTGAAAAGTTAAGGGGAGGTGCAAGTTACTTTTCAGCCACCCTGTATATTAGTAAAAGATAACACTTGTTGGAGTGATTTGAATCACTGATTGGTGAGTGAATAGTGAACGACTTCAACATGTGCTTATTGAACACAAAGCATCTCTCATGGTTGACACTAACTCGGTGCTTATGGAAGACTTGTGTCCCAGAATTTGACGACGTCACTTTCTGGTCATTTTATCTTTTTATACACTTGAGTTCGGCTAATCCGAGCTAAGTGGGACCAATTACACTTTCCTACACAATAGTTGGTGATTAGGAAAAGTCACTCGGGGCTATACTATATGGTTTAAAAATCATCTGTTGTGTTTTAAAGCAATGCAATAAATTACCCAACAGAAGAAAACTTGAAGCACATTCAGTGAAGAGGAACAAGTATAGGTAGAAAAAAGAATAACCTGGTTGGATAGCAGGAACAAAATAGAAATAAAATGGTTGGTTTATACTCTTATTTTTATATATACTAGAGGTCATCTAGTGGTAAAAAACTCGACCAAAAATATGTAATGTACAGACATATTTCACCCCACATTGTAAATAAAACATGTGATTGGAATTTCTTCCATTTGTTTTCCATTTTTTTTATGTTTCGTTGTTATTTCGTCAGCAGCATGGCAACCCATAAGGCCCATGTTAATTTTGTTAACATTTTAAATTCATTTTTGTGCTTATTTTTTTGCCTATTTTAATTTATAAAGGGATTCTGGCCATCTACAGGAAAATAATTTTCCAACAATATGCGTAGATGTTCCCTGTGATGTATACGAGCTGAGAAAAAAGGTTTAAAAAAAAAATGCTTGCCTATTAATATACAGATTTATTTCCAACAAATACAAATTTACAAAACTCATACAATTTAGAAAAAAGAGCCATTTGTGGCTTGTCTGCAGCAATTATTACAATTTTTGTTATATCACAGTTTGCTTTTTTATTCAATAAGTATTTTTTTCCCTTGTTTAACTTTAAATAAACTATACTATGTCACAGAATACAATATGAAGTCATGTGCGGTGGTAGGCTAAAAAGAACGTTCGGATAAACTGCGAAGAAGTGAAGGTAGACGATGGTGAGGGAAATGTGTAATATATTGAAAACAGCTGTTTATTGTCTTATGTTTACGTTGTTATGTAAATAAATAATGTTATGTTTTTTTTGTGTGGTAACCCCTAATATAATCAGAATCAGTGACTGATGTAACCCCCGAATAAAGTCAGTGACATAGGAATATCAGTGACTGATGATTCCCTAACTAAATACGAAACTGTACCTAACCCGCTAGGTGAAACCAGTGTAGCCTCCTAAAATAAAAACAGTATCTTTGTTGGTCCGCTATTAAAATTAGTGACTTCTGTGAACCCTTCATATCAGATATTTCTTAAATGAAATGTATATATTTCTTAAATTTAGTGACCAGTAGATTCCCTGTTCAAACTACATGCTGGTGGGTCCTCAGTAGTAACACAACACAACACACACAATGCAATGTTCACACGGCACATTACCTTGGTCTTCTGACTGGCCGATAGCCGTAGTAAGACCCACGAGACGACCGACCACGCGCTCTCCCACCTCTGTAAGGACCTCTGTTGGTGGAGCTCAATCCTGGGCGGTTGGTCCTCTTGGGGTTTACCTGGATACATTTCTCATTAGATATTGGAAAAACAATTTGGATCAATGGAATTTAGGAGATGTATTTTAGATATTAAGGCATTAACACAATCACTTACAAGTGACATGATATCATATTGTAAAGGAGTGTGTTAGCACAATCACTAAGAAATCACACATATAGAAGAGTGGGATGGTTCGTAGGGAACATGTTAAAGAAAAAAATCGATAATTATAGTTTTATTGTGGTTTGTTTGTTGAGGTTTTACCTGATATGAATTCACATCTTGAACAATCGGTCTACCAGTGCCACTTGTGATGTGTCAGAACCTAATTTTCATTGATAAATAAAAGAAAAGCTGTTTTGGAATCTATCAAAAACCTGAATATCTCCAAAAGCTTTTAAATTACTGACTTGAGAGTAAATTTGTAAACAAATTACAAAATGGCGGATAGCAACTCAATCAAGCCCAAAATAAACAAAACTACTGAACATTTAAAATTTTATTTGAAATCAGTTCCTGTAAAGCAGCTATATGCATATTTCTGACACCTTGTGTATGTTTAAAAAAAGAATTTTACTGTAAAGATTTCTCACCTTGATCTGTCGTCCTCGAAACAAGGACTCGTCCAATGCCATAGCTGTTTGCACTGAATCTCTCTCGGCAAACTCAATGTAAGCAAATCCTTTTGGGTGACCGTCAAACTTGTTACACAGAATTGTAACTCTGTTAATAGATCCACATCCGTGGAAATGCTGTTCCAGTTCTTCAGCTGTTGCTCCGTAATCAACCTTTAACAATTGTAATGTTAAAACTTTACAATACCAGGTTCAAGAAGCTTAAATGAGCTTTAAAAAGACGGTTTTCGCTTTTATTAAGCTGTTTGGATGTTAGTCAGAACTATGTGTGGAACATTATAAGGGAAGGGGTGACATGGTGAGGAAAAATAATAGTTTACTGGATTCTGGTTGATTTTTAGTGCCAGTAGGGGGATGCAAATTCACAAAAATAATGTCTCAGTTTTGCAGCATAACACGCTACTGGTTTACCTTTGACACTAGAATGTCAATATTCTTTACAGATCGAGAAATATTATTAAAAAGTGGCCCGTGAGCAATTTGAGAATTTTAACACGTTCGCTACTGCCCATCAAATGGCAGGCGTAGCCCCAGTGCGGCGCAGCCCGCAGCGTCGAACAAACCCGATTGCCGGGTGATTGGCTTTCATATTTCAGTATGACGAATATCAAATAACGTGTGGTGATGTCCTGTTTCATGACAAGAGTCGACGTAGTTTGCTAAACACCCACAGTAGATGCCATTATTTTACAATAAAACAAAACTAACATAGCACAAAATTACAGTTAACAAACGTAATGAGTGAGTCAAAATCCGACAGGTATAGTTTTGGAACGAGTAACGATAATTACAAATGGATCGCAACACAAAACTGCCACTGTCATACACGAAGCACGGACAAAAATACTCCGACCTACACCGGAGTGCGGCTGCACTCAAACGGAATAAGTTTGGCGGGTGCACATTACCGCCCGGGCGGCGCGCCGCAGCGTGGCGGGGCTACCGCCCGGGCGGTAACCCGCAGCAAACAGTATAATATAGGGTTTGAAATTTGTTTTTGAGGCATAAAACATATCATGCAAAAACCTTTTACATTTCAAAGATCATGTTTGTTTAAGATAAACAATAAATTAATAAGATAAACAAGATTAAGATACACAAATAAAAAAATAATTTTATGTTAGGCCTAATTTCCTGTGTAAGGAATAAGCTATTACCGTCTAGGTCCCTTGGTAAGACAAAGACAACTTTAGTTTTTCATTTTGATCCCCCAGAGGGCATAAACACCATCCATTCAAATTCATATATTAATAATGTGTGTGTCTGTCTGTTAGCATGATAACTCAAACTAATACAGTACTATCCAATTTTGATGAAATTCGGTACAAACCTGTAAGCCCATGTTTATTCGAAAGTTCACGAATCAGCATGATCGGACTATAGAAATGGTGTTTTATTGGGTAAAAAAAATGTATTTCTCCTTTTTTTACCATATACAATTTGTCAGATGCTTTCCATTATATGTAGAGCTCAGTATAAAATAATTTTGTATATTTATAGTTGTTTTCTAATAGATTTGGAGAGAATTTCAAACAACCGTAATTTATTTAGATCAAATTTAGTAAATTTATTTATTTTATACCAAGCTATAAACAAAAAAAAAACATGTTTTATGACATTCCTAGGAGCAGCAAACCTAAGTACTCAATCAACCCAATGTCATTTAAATAGGAAATAAATCTAACATCTTTCAGGAAATATTTCAGTATAGACATTCGACCATGAAAAGAAAGGAAATTCACTTAGTCAGTAGGACGGCTGATAAATGGGTGTTACAGATAAAATAACAGTCATAATATCCTATTACTTTTAAAAGAGTCGACTCAAAGATTTTGGAAATACTCACGATGTACATAACAGTTCGATAAAATCAACATTTCTTGTAAATATAAATATATCTTATAATTTTTCAAAAGCTGATATTGTTTTTTAGCATTTTTTACAAATGTTTCCCCACTCATAGCCGCATTAGTTTGAACATAATAACGATTATAAATTCTTGAAAAAACATTATTCCTATTTCTTCTACTTGGTGGTGTTCTATAACTTTACTATGTTTCCATATTTTGCAAATCGGCTCTTTCAATGATTGTTCAAGAAATGCAACACAGGGTTGATTCAGTTTTCTTTTTAGTCTATCAAATTGTCCAGGCTTTCTTGTTTTTTTCCATTGTAATATTTACGCCAACCCAAACCCTATTAGTAAATATTTTATTTTAACCAAGTCAGTAAATGTTTGTAGCACACGTTTCCTTAAATCACAACTAAAATCTTAACAGGAATTAAATTATCCAGCTAATCATAATGTAAACAAATATGGTCTTCATACGGATAACATGGGAACTTTAAAAGCCACTGGGGCAGAGCCTAAGGGACTTTTTCAAAAATGTAAGGTCAGTTTTCCAATCTACACACACACACCTAGACGGACATTTTGGTATATAACATGTGGGGTCAAGTCTTAAAACAAAAAAGCCTTATTGTTTACAAAGTTTCATGTAGGGTATTAATAATATAGATACAGCTAATTTAAAAAGTGAAAAGCTAGATAAACCATTAACATCAAATTAACAAGCTATAAAAATACTTACATTTCCGACATATATTGATCTGTTATCAACCTCTATCTTTTCTTCAATGGATAAATTCATAGGGCTTGCTGAAAAATAACTTAAGTTGTTAATGAGACATCCAACAATTCATGGTGAACAACAAATTTGCCACGGTTCCTGGGTTCTGACAATTAGAAAATGTCAAGACTTTTAAATACAAAATATAAGAATTTTTATAATATTAATTATTGGTTTTGACTTTTAGTGCCATTGACACTGACTGATTCCTTCCTATTTCTTAAGTCTTTTGTCAGATTTTAGACCGCTAAAAAATGTTGTTTGCCTACCTCTTTACATGTAGGTGAATTCTTTTACATTGCAATTAATTTAAGTACCAGGATCAGAAATAGCATTGATTAAAATTGTTTTGAAGACGAGTGCTTTTGACAAATCTTAGTACGAGGTATTTTTTAGTCAATTGTGGATTAACAAACAATGGCAATAAACTTCTTTAAGATTTATATAGCCGGGTTCTGCATCTAAAAAATCTTGTATTCTTGCAAACAAAATATAGTGAGGCTGTCATAGTCAGAAACAAAAATGTATAAATAACCTGTCTATTTCTTGTGTTACACCAATTAGCTAATTAGCTGTCCCAAGAAAAGTAGTTAACAGCACTCATTGGCTATGTGCTCTTCATAATTCGAAACTCGGCAACAGATCCAAAAGACTGATAATCTTTCTGTCTCTGTTAACTTTCAATAAATACACTTAGGCTAACCTATTCCAGTCAATACAATTAATAGTCCATTACTTTTGAAGAACTGTTCCACTAACGTTTAAAAGCAAGAGGCAATTCTAAATTAGAAAAGACATAAAAAAGACTTTGGTGAGGAAGGGATGGGTTCGATTCCCAACACATGTACATAATATATGGGTTTGGACTGCTTTCCCTAAAAGTGTTATTTGAGTATTAAGTATAATGTACTGCCTCTCATGAAAGATTCCCTGGGGTAACAGACATCAAGGAGAAAAGTGAATCATATGATGAAACCTAACCAATAACCATCCTTAAGAGAAAGATTTTCTCTTCTCAAGTGGGGAAGATCGAATTACATTGACTTTGATTGTCCATCCAAATATTTGACTTATTTGAGCCATTGCTCTCACCGTCCTATTTTGTGGGGAAGGCTATTTATGCCATGAACATGAACAATGTTCAGCCACATGCGAATACAACATTCAGCAACACATACTATTGGCAAAGCAGTAATACAAAGAACTTATGTGTTTACTCTTCTTACTGCCGACAATATGATAAGCAATGTTGTTTCTGCTCCACACTTTAGTTGACGTCTTTGAAAGGCTCAAAAGTCAGAGATGAAAAGTGAATTCCCAGATAGCCTACTTAAGATGGTTACTTTCCCATCTAACATAATTTTGAATCATGTCTTCAATTGATACCTTCCTCAAGTGTGAAAGCATTAAATTTATACTATGATCCTCTATGTTGAAAGAGAAAATATTTATCAATTCTAACTAAAATTCCTAAATGGACACTCAAAAGTACCGTTAGTGCGGAAGTTTAGTTTACGCTGCTGAGTGATTACCAGTGTGACAGTCCAGCTACTAATGTCATAATTTGTTTAAAACCTCCCATAGAACAACTGTACTTGAAAGATCTTCCAAGAGGCGCAAGTAAAGGCGGCTTCACACGCAGCGATATACATGAAGGCCTATCTCAAGAAGCCCAACCTCGAGGAATGTCTCAAAGTGTGTACATGGAGAAATTTGAAATTTGATGAGTTATGTTATACCTGCCACTCTGACGTCTGGAGGCAAAAAATTTGGTATGGTCTGCCTCAAGGTTAGTTGTCTCAAAAGGCGGTAGGAACGTGTGGAGGGTACTTCAGGCGATCAGTAGTCAGTGTTTTGTGTTGTACTTGAGAGGTTTATTTTCTTAAAATAATTTGTATAACATAGAGCCTGGGAAGATATGACAGCAGACAATTTTAAATCTTCGTATCATCTTCCTGTAGCCAAAAATTGCAATGTGGCACCCATTCGTTCATGAGGCGACATTGCCGTCTTCATTATGGTATCTTTTTTTGAAAGGCGTCACCAATGTTCGGACAAAATCTGTTTATTTAATACACTTATTATTTACATGTGAATTAACTTTTCTTTTCTGAAACCAATCTTTAGCCTATAACTTTTTCCTCGCTTTATTTTCACCACATTTAATAGGCCTAGTTAAGAACAAAGCATTTTGACGCTATTTTGAAGAAACTGGAGTGCCTCAATGCTGGCCTTTGTATAATACGTAGTGTGTGGAGACTACCCATTCCTATTTCTAGGTACGTCATAAGGCCTGGCACCTTGAGGCAAGCCCAGCCTTAACATTGTCCACATATTTTTCCTATGAAACCACGTTTTAGCAGCAGAAAATGTCGGTAGAGACGATGCTCCTAGATGTTCATGAGGAACAGTCTTCTTGCACAGTAACCACTTCAACCATCTTGTTTCTTTAAGGTTACTGGCTACTAGTACCTTACAGATACTCGGCCCGGAGTGTCGGTTGTTCGGCTTTCAAACATGCTATTTAACTTTGCAATCCTTGTAACCAATTTGGGAATAAATATTAAAGATGCCCATCACACTTGGTTCAACATTGGGTGATCTTTATCTGATAAATGTGCCTTCTGACATTATTTCAGTGGACCAAACAATCAATTGAGATTTATCTAAAGAAAATCTAAAACCTCCAGTCAAGACCTGGTGAAACAAATTTAATTTTGTTTAAGACCTCAAACGATTACAGCAATTTCTGAGTAGTCATATGCAGATAACATTAGTTGAAGTGATTTATTTCACATTTTTCTCACTTGTACAACCTTGTACAAGATTTGTAGCCTTGAAATATTTGTATTCTTTTTTATTCATCACAAAGATATTTAATTGTTCTTAAATTCCATACTCTTGAAGCTGTGTCAAATATTTACTAAGGATTTATTAGTGTAGGCCTATGTCATATTTCATTTTCACAGCATTGATTGCAGCATATTGTGAATGCATTTAACAAAGCCCATAACAGCAACGTTTCATTACTTGCTTAGAAAGAAGACATTTTTGTTACTTTAACTGTGAGAACAATTTATTTTAAACACCGAGCACAAAGAAATGTGAGATAGCTTTCTTTATAAAACTTCCATTTTTGCTCTTTGAAATTTGCTAATCTTCTCAAATCATAATTATTTCACAAGATGCCTATTGACTGTTTAATTTAAGGGTTTAGGTCAAAACAACAAAGTCAGGTTTAATAGAGTACATATTCAATGAAATACATCCAGTGGAGAATATATTTATTTGTAAGTAACAAATTTTAGTTTAACATAAAATAAATGTTATATTGTTTGGAGAAAAATGTAGTATTAGTTAATTAGCCTACATACCAGATTTATATAACCAAATAACAGGTACAAAAAGTCAATCTAGATACTTTTTGTGTTGGAATAGAGTCCTGTTTTTCTTTATTGTATTTTTTTCAATTTTTTATCTTTTTATTTTTTTCTTTTGTATTTTTTTCTTTTGTATTTTTTATATTTTGTTTTGTACTTTTTCTTTCTTTTGTATATTTTTATATTTTGTTTTGTATTTTTTTATATCTTTTTGTATTTTTTATCTTTTTTTTTTGTTTTTTTATCTTTTGTATTTTTGTTTTTTATCTTTTGTTTTTTTTATTTTTTATCTTTTTATCTTGTTTTTTTTTTGTTTTTTATCTTTTATTTTTTTCTTTTCTTTTTTGTCTTTTGTATTTTTTTATATTTTTGTTTTTTTAGTACTTTTTTTTGTAGATATTTTCAGCATGGACACACCACTGTTTTTGCTCACACAAAAAGTATTTACATAAAGTAAATAATATTTAACAGTGTAAGTTTACTAATTTCAGCAGCACTAATTAGCCTATACTACACATTAGACTTAACATTATGATTCAAATATTATAATAATTTGACAAAGCGGATTTTATTTATATTAGCATGTTTTACAAAGCCAAATTTTTTTAAATTGGAAATTTGACCGTTGCCAATAAGAAACGAGCAAAAACTATTCTAACGCTAAATTTTGCAGCACTCTTGTTTAACTTTTTCAGAATTGTGGTCTCTATGGATAAAAAACTCATCCAAAGTACCGGGATGGAAATATATAGTGACTTCCAACTATAATTTAAAACATCTCTAACTACCAGGTAGGTAAACTCAAAATCATCTTTGAAAGTTGAAACTAGTTTGTTTCATTACAGTATTCTATTAGCAGTCAGGAATTACACATTGTTGACATAAAATCTGTCAAGGGTTAGATTTAATCTAATCAAACTGGAGAAAGTAAGCTAGATAATTTACTACAGTTATCAATGGTTTAGTGGAAATAATTCCTTTGGGAATTCAGAGATACACTTTCAGTAAATTTTATTTTTCCCATCAAAAATATAAGGTGAATCTTATGCGCTTGATCTGATGGTCAATTTCGCCTCCATAAGAAACAAGCTTCCTTAACAAACTTTAATCAAACAAACTTTGCAAGTATCCTGCTTAACTGCTCAACCAAACTTTTCCCTGATAGACCAGTAAGAAACTGTCAATCCTCTACTTGCGATCCTATTCCATCCCGGTAAAACAAATAAATCAAATGAAGATATGATCTCACTGATTGATGGAGGACTGCCTAGGTTCATCTGCTTATCCACTTCTGATTGTAGCTGCTTCAACTTCTCCGCTTCTTCCTTCATCTCTCGCACTCTTGCTTTGATCGCTTCCAACTCCTAAAACAGTTTAAAAAATGTAAAAATCTATATCTTTGACGATTATATAGATAATCTTGATAGGTACTTTCCTGTTAAAGGGAACATTCACTATTATCGATGATTTTTTTTTATATATATCGATATTTTTATTTTCCTTTACGATCCACATGCCTTCTGTTTTAATATCTTCAAATGTGTTTAAATTACAAATTGACACCTGATTTGTTTAGGCAAAAATAACATACACCTATTATGGATTTAGAAATGAAACTGTCCTAAACTAAGTAGTCCTTAACATAACTAACCAAACTTGCTGTGCGATTTCAAAATTCTGTTTGATGACAGAAAAGGCATGTGGGGAATTTTGAAATGTTACAGCAAGTTTGGTTAGTTAGGTTAGGTACGTTTACAACAGTTTCATTTAATTTTTTTAGTAGCTCCCTTCGCATACTCCCTTCTACTAAGGGAGTATGTTTTATCTTCACTAAAAGGGAGAATGGTTTCACTTCCTTAAAAATATCGATATTTTGGATAGAAAAATATAATATTGATATATAAAAAAAAATCATCGGTAATAAGTTTAAGTTAATGAAATTATTTACCCTCTTAGGTCTATACTACAGTATATTCTCTCTGAATTATGTGTCAAAGGGGTTATAAATATTATACCGAAGGGCAACTAACCGACATCCTGCCAGCACACCACAATACGGCAAAGAGCTGTTCAAGTAAACAAGAAAAACATACTTGCTGCTCACAGGAAATGATTATTTTGATTAGGGAAAAAGATATGAATATAAAGGGGAAAGCTTCCAAACAGAAAATTGGAACAAAACAAATTGGCCTTGTAAGAAAACAAGAATACCATAATAGTAATATTTCTCGAAAAATTAATATGTTAGTAAAGTTTAATCGATTTTAAAACAATACGTTTTAACATTAATTTTCACAGGGAGTCACCCATGTATCAAATTGTTACTAGGAACTAGTAAGCACCAGAATCAAAGTTACTACCAGTGACATACAAATCAAAAAATTATGAACACCTAGACTAATCAAACAAACGGTTTTTAAATACATGTTCCAGGAGTAAAACAAAAATGTAATTTATGTACGTATGTATGTGTGTATGTGTGTAAGTTATGTTTATGTAATATTGTAAAACATTGGTTTCCGGTTACTTACAGGATCGTCCACACGGTTGGATCTAAGGCTGTCATCATTGCCATCCGTATCCTCAGTGACTTCAGTGTCTTGTCCGTTGTCCATCTGCTCAAACACATCGTCTACTCCAGCCTCTTCGCCCATCTTCCTGTAATGAAAACATTCATTTAGGTGAACATTACAATTAACTGAGGTTTAAACATGGATTTAAACCACGCAAAAATCTATGTTTGAAAATTTCACCATTTTCTTTTGTCCTAACACGCTAGGCCCGGGCTTGGTTTGCAAATTACTTCAGGCTAGGGGTTGTGGCATTATCACTAAGATCAAATCCATTGGTGACTTTGCGGGATTTAAACTTGAGACCTCAGGGACCACTAAACCAGCTCCCTCTCTCTAAAATTTTACCATGGTAAATAATAATTTGAAGGGTTTCAATGACCAGTCAGTAATAAAGCTACATAGATCATCTTACAACATTCTACACTCATCCTTCACTCTTATTTGGGTTAAAATACACACCTGGACCTAGGTAGTGTCCCCATCTTATATTGATAATGATGTTTTCCTTATTTAAATAACATCAAGTTAAATGAGTAGGCTTACTTAGGTTTGGTGCTACAGGAAAGATAACTCACATCTTTTATTGAACTGTTAATAGCTTAGTATGAAATGAATTTGTCAAATTTGATCAAAATATATCCATAAACAAGCTAACAACAAGGGTTTACTTATTCTCCATTAAAATAACATCGTAATTTTAAATTTATATATTTTGAAATAATCCCTGCAATAATTAGTTTAGACGTACAATAACGCTTCAATTTACAAAATTGTTTAATTTTTATTCTTACAAGATGGCTGTAATGAAAACTAGGCAGTATTAAGAGAAGGAGTAAATAAATATTTTTAAGCATTCAAAAAATACCCTTTACACCTTAGAACTTACTCTTCATTAGCCGATCTTGCTGCTTCGCGATCAAATTAACAGAACTACACTCCAGAACACTTCTATGACTCCATTTAAACTGAATGGTTATAATAAATGTCCATTTATAAATCGGACGGTGGCGTCGTCCTGTATTCCAGCTGTTAGGTCACGAATTGTGGATATTTATAGGCATGCACTGTGGATGTGATGCTCCCTGGTGTAGATTCGGATAATTAGACCAATTTGTTAATTACAAGGACAAAATTTGGTTTGGATAAACTGTAGGTCTCTTAGTTGACATTGGCTGTATGGGCAATTTATTTATTTATTAACAGCTGTGTCTAAGGAACGTACATGCCTTTGTCACTAACATGACTACAAGATCGTACCACTCATCCTACACTCGCATTTGGGTTTAAATAAGCACATAGTGGCATCCCCATCTTAAATAATTGATCTGATTGATGTAATTGGTCTAAACACAATTTAATAGTCCACCAATTAGTAATAACCCACATATTTTTCTTCTCGCACATAAAATCAACATACACAATGGTCTGAATGAAATTATGTTACAGAAACTAATTATTTATGTAATTAATATCCATGTTTGAGTTCCTGAGCTGTTAGGCATAATGCAAGGCTAAATTACTTACGTAATCCAGTAACAAGCTCAACAATATTGAAATTACAGGTTTTCAGTACTGGCCAAGAGTGAAAAGCCTTAAATATTTTTACATTTTATTCAGCTCGCTCAACAAAATGTTTACTCTATGCAAAGTTGTCGGTGTCAACTTTTGCCAGGGCCTTATCAATAGTAGGCCTAGTTATTGTGCTAGAGGGCGAAAAATGTCGCTATCACGGAGCTGGTTTTTTTACCGTAACAAGTAGCCAGAACCAGCGGAAAACTAGTATAGTGTGACTATTCCTCCAGCTGCTAGAAACATTGGCATGAGCTGGTATCTCTGGCCGCTGGAGGTTTTAAACTAGGTTTAACATTCCAAGCGCTTGAAGAACCACTAGCAGGTCACGTGACCACCCAGCTGTGGGCTCTAGCACCATTCCAGCTCTGTCTGACAGTATCGTGCTGGCTCTTGCAATAAGAAAATGAATTTAAATTAATTTAACAAATTAAACTAATTAAGAACAAATTTAAAACTTCATGTTTAGACATTTTTTTTTCATAAATTGCCATAATTTTCTCATTGTTACGATTGTTACATCTCACCTATATAAACTAAATAAATTTGATTTTTTGTGATGCTAAAAGATAAAGAACTTTTGTTATAGGCCTACCACAACTTATTCAATTTTAATTTGTTAATTTACAATTTCGTAGTACTTTACTAGCGGTGAAAAAAACAGCTCCATGTGACAGGGGCTTAAATAGCTGAGTAGTTATCATGCTCTGCTCAGTACAATCAGAGGGTCGCTGGTTCAATCCTGAGAAGACTGTACCTTATTGAAAGTTCAAAACTGGACCCAGCAGTCCTTGATCATTGGGCTTTTAATAGATTATCCTTTCTAATGGAACAAAGCTACACTGATTATCTCACTCACTCTATCTTCAACAAATATTCATATCTTTTCCATCCATTTTCACCACTCCAGGAAGTGACAATGATATAAATACCACTACTAGTGAACTAGTGGACGAGCTGCAGGTAAAAAACAGCTGGTAGCTAGTATATTTTTGTGCCCCGTTTAATCAAGCTCTGCTTGATTTAGTCTCATAGGAATACCTGTCAGGTTAGTTCCATAACTTATGTTTAAATATTGTGATCTGCCACTGCAAATTTAAAATCTGGTATAATTTACTTTATAGTAGGCAAACATGTACGGCAACATTCAATCTCGAACCCCAAAAAATTGTTTTGTGATACTGTGTCAATTTTGTGAGGCAAGGATAAAAGATTTAAAACTGTAAAAATTTTGCTTTTCCTGCAAACATTAAAACTGAAAGATTTTTTGAAACTGTTACCCATTGGAAGTAGATAGTTAGTAGTCACAGTCATAATGAATACACAAACACTTTTTCAGTCTCCTGCATAGAATGGATGAGATTGTCACTTAGGCTAGTTTGAGTTGTTGTACAACCTGACACTATTCGATGTATATATTGTACAAAATAATGAATAAAGAAGTTTGAGTTGAATTGAATAGCTGACTTGTAGAACATTTAAGTTCAAAACTAATACTCTCTTTGGAAAAAATGTTAGGCCCAATCATTTTACGATTTTAGAGGTGTTAATTAGGAACAGTACAAAGTGTAAAATGTTTTGACTTTCACGTACTACCCTTTTAAACCCAATTATATCAATGAAATATGTCTTGCCGAAAACCAACTTCTAGCACTCAGCACTGTAGTTCACAGTGTTTCTACTACTAATAATGCAGTAGCCCTAATGTGGTCCTAGTATTTCTATACTAGGATTGTGACAGTTTTCTAATCTATTAGACCTATACCTCAAAATTAATTACCAGATAGGAGAGTACTCTCATAAATATCACTTGATCATACACAAGAAACAATTAAATTTGCAATCAGAACTAGGTCCATCTATTGCTGGATGGGCATGAATCACAAGATAAGTTTGATTAGTTAAAAAATGTATTTCAATCAAAATGGGTATAATCTCCTTACAACCTAAATATTTATTATTTAAGGTAAATTAATACATGCTTTAAAACAATTAGAATTGTCTTAACAGACGGACTAAATAAAGAAACTGCAATATGACATAATATTTTTTCATAAAAAAAAGCTAAAACTTTGGCATAAATAATTATACAACCGTCCCTTAGCTTTCATATAATTATGTAAAAATAATACGGATGAAATAAAACTTTTAAAACCGCTTCAAAAACTCTTCAGCACAAATTCTAGCTCTAGCGTTAACAGCCAGTTTCATCTCGCTGATCTCTTTGTCGATTTCCTCCATGAAATGAACAACAAAGTCCACCAATTTGTGCTTGTACATCTGTTCCGTGTGGTTGTTGGTGATAAGGAAGCTGATGTCATAACCTTGTACAGCTTTTCGCCTGATGACGATGAAATTCTCCGCTCTCATCATCATGAATCTCATGAATTTCTTGCAAAGTATTCGTTCGATTTCGTCAGCCTGTTTGACGGCAATGCTGATTCTCACAGAGTTGATAGAACCTTCGATCAGCACTCTTTCTCTTTCGTTCCGACTGATGACGATCGGTGTGAGCAGCAACTCTTTGTTGGATCGCACCTCCACCTCTGGCTTGTTGTGCCTCTCTACCTCCTGAGACGAGAAGTTCTCCAGGCACATTGCTGCCGTCAGACTGTGCCTAACCGCAGTCAGGTAAGGTCTTAGAGTCGCCGACATGTTGCTTCAACAATTCGCTTTCAGCTGAGATAGGCCTAGCATCAGTTGGTTTCAGCTGCTGGAGCCTTATCTGGAAAAATACAAAGCAATTAATTGATAGAATAAGCACAATTCAATAAAAATAGCTCAGTAATTTGAGGCAATGATCATTACACTCTGTAAAACAAATTAACTATTAGACCTACTGTTTCTTTAACATTGTTGTTAACTTTTATCATTTTTGTAAGGGAGGGTGCAGAAAAAAAGGGAAATTCATACATTGACTGGGATTATCGAGAAAGGGCGATTTGAGTTAAGTGGATTTATCAGGCCAGAATTTACATTTGTCAATTCGACCTATTTGGCAGCAACAAAATTAATATCAATCAATATTTAGGTCTAGGTATTAATTAATAGGCCTATACAGTATTAGGTCATGAGGTTTCTGAAATACATCTTAGGCCTAATTTCTTTTACTAAACATCTTAATACGGATATTGCAATACAGACAGTCTCGTGTAAGCAAGTTGAGATTACTGTTTATCTAATTGGTTTTATATGTTCAGCAATGTCAATACTGTATTACTAATCTCAAATCTACAATCACTACGCCTATAATCCACAAAAATATATAAAAGCTACGGTACTCCACCAGTAGGCCTAATGTTATGTGATGTAAATAGAAAACAGCCCAATTCAAAAGGTACTAACACAAACAAATTTAACAAATAGAAATTCTACAAATTAGGTAGGCCTAAAGTAACTTACTCACCTATTATTTTTTTCCTTGCATTGAAATATTTTCCATCAACTTAAAAGGCTAACGTTCATATGGTTTAACAGGCTGTTTAACTGATGAACTAAAAATAAATCCGCTCAAATGTCTTCTTTAAATTACTGCAACACTGCCACAATCATCAAGAACAATTATTAGTAAAATAGCAAATAGGTAGGCCTATGCTATTATTTCTGAAGAACAAATAATGGAACTTCCATCAAAATCTATTGAAACCAATGGTTAGAATTCAGCATGCAATACAAGTCCAATTGCAATATCCAAAATACAAATTTAATTTCATACAAAATAAGTTATTCAAATATAAGTGCAATGATCATTAGCCTCAATAGTAATTAAGAGCTCAATCTATAAAAACATGGGAATAACTGTCCAACATTTAATATAGGCTAAGAGGTAAAAAGGTAATTAAAATCATATACATTATAGGCCTAAAGGCCTTTTCACACCGGCGTACTGGACGTACAGTACGTACTGTACGTGGTCCTTTCACACCGCACAGAAACTTCCAAAACGTACACTTGTTCGTTTGCAGTCAGACAAGTAACACTGGCTGAGCACGTGGTTTTGAAGTGTTCACTGTGCATGCGCGAGCCCATGTACGCCTCGTACGTTTTAGAAAAATCGCTCTCCGAGCGATTCACACAAAACCATCGCGTACGTACTGGACGTACAGTACGTTTTGTATGCGCGGTGTGAACGAGCTCATATGATAACATGGGCAGGGATTTGTTGAATAACAAATGTACCAAACGTACAGTACGTCCAGTACGCCGGGTGTGAAAAGGCCTTAACCCAAAAAGACTGAGAACATATTTCATACATTGAAATAAGTCTTATATCCAGTGTTTGATTTGAAGCGGAATGGCGTTCTGTAAACCTCTCTTTCAGAAAGAGAAAAATATTTCCTAATAGTAAGCCTATAGGTACTAATCACATTAAATAACTAGGTTACATTTCCGGCACCTAATTTTTTACAAATCAAGCCCTGCACATACTGTAGGTATATATTTTGTCACTATTCAGACAGGTAACAATTCATTATACCCTAGAATTTTCTCCATGTGTCAAGAGTCTACTGCTTACGTGGAGTTATCCATAAGGTACCGAAGGTAATATACGAGATTAAGGGCATAATTTTAAATTCCTGAAGAGGAATAGGACGAAGCAGGCATGTTTCCTAAGGTGTTAAAAAAATGTCAATGACGCTACGTACAGATTATAATATGAATAAACCGGATGTCCCATAATATTCCTCCCCTGTTAATTTTAAACGGCTCCATGTATTCAAACGAGCTTTGATACACGTTACTAGGGTAATGTAAAGTACCTTTTGGTGATATTTTGAAATTCAACCTCCCCCCACCATCAAAGAGGGGTTGCTAGGGGTAACTTGAGTTTTCTTAAAGGCAACCCTAAAACCCTAGGCAAAAAAACGATACCCAACTCAATCCAGTTCAATCCGATTCAGTCAGTCCCAGAGCCGTCGCCGCAAACAGTGTTTGTGAGTCGCAAAAGCGACACATAACACTACAGCGGATGTGTTATGAGTCGCTTTTACGACACATAACACTCGGAGGGTTAATATAATAAAGAATCCGCATAAAATCCGACCTATCTTCCTCACATGCCTTTCCTGGCACAAAATGCTATTTAAACACTAATATTAAGGTTGGGTTGGGTTAGGTTAGATTAGATTAGATTATGTAACATCATTTATTAGTTGCTTACATTAAATTATGCACTGTGGCACGTTTTCACTTTTAGACACAACACAATGGGATTGTACTAGCCTATGGGATTATGCACTATGGCACGTTCATTAACAGACGTTGAGGCATTAGTCAATGGTTGAGGATTGGAATGAGGACGATGATCATGTCGGCAGTGGCCTAAGTTGAGCGAAGCTAAATGTGAATGGGTCAACGTGGGTAATTGTGAACGCCAATGACAAATTTTTCAGATAAATGCAATTTACAAAAAAAATTTAAGCAATTTTGAAAATGTGGTCAGTGTTATAGAATTATACATATTTTGGGCTTAATATTTCATATAAGCCGATTTCATACCCTATTTAGTTAAGGAGTTATTCAGCATTCACAATTGCCCGGACGGCATTCACAATTACCTACAATTTTGGGGTAAATGTGAACTTAGTTGAGAAAAATATTAAATTACATACTACAGCATATGATGGGAATTGTGATTAAAGCCTAATTCAAGCTGTTCACAAATAACCCACTTTCAATGGCATGTGACAAAAAATAAGTGTGCAAATGAGATTTTTCCGTGGTACTTTGAAATAGTTAGAAAATCAGGTAGATGTAAAAATAACAACAAATTTGCAGAATATTTAAAATTAATGTATTTAAAGGGTAAAATAGTATTCTTATACAAGAGAAAATAATATAGAGTAGTTATTTGATACAGTAGAGCAAAAATTTAAAGGAAATGACAAAATAATCTCACTTTAACAAACGAAAGAGTACAAATTTGTTTAATAAAATTATTGAAATCCTACTGTAATAGCAATCAACCAATTAGAAAAGAAAACTAAATTACATTGGTTGGATAGAATAATTAGGCACTTTCCTTTTAGGCTATACAAAATATTACTTGTACTAAAAATGTTTTTTTTTTATCTTGAAAAACCTATTTAGAAATCAAATCATTAACTGTCTTGTCCGCCTACATCTCAAAAACTGAAACACAACCTGGAAACTTGTAAGTAATCTGTATTTTTTTATACAGTGTTTCTGGGGTTGGCAGCATAATTGGTTTGAAGAATAATCTTTAATGAGAACCAAAAATGTGTTTCTTTTAGGGCCCTTTCACACGAGGCCACTGGTGGCCGCCACCGGTGGCCGCCACTGGTTGCCCGCCACAGCTTTAACATTATTTTAAATGGGACCTTTCACACACAGCCACTGTAGTTGCCCGCCACTACACAGTGGCCGAGCAGTGTCTTCTCGCGCAACTGCTAGTCGGCCACCGCCGGCAACTGCAGTGGCGGCAACTCGTCGCGGGGCATTGAATTATATGGGAGCTTTCACACGTAGCAACCAGTGGCCGCCACTGTGGATGAGCACGCAGCTATTTTGAATCATTTCACGTGCAGACTGCAAAGACAAACGCACTATGGTTGTAGTTGTCGAGTGTTTTCGTGTTGAACTGTTTGTTTGTGAAAATGAGTGATCAGAAGAAAAATAAAGAGGACGTTGCTGAAAAAGAAAAAGACAAAGGAAAACAACAGAAGAATAGAATAAATAAAATAATAGAAAACAAAGTGGATACTGATGATCTAATTTGCGAAATTGAAAAGTAACCGGCTATTCGGTATAGTACGCCTGAGTCTTTGCCTTATTTTCTTTATTATCAACGCGAGAAGAAGGAGATGTTCATTGTTCGACAGCATGTACAGCATTTCTACCAGTACAGTGGCTGTAGTAGAGTGGCTTGTAAGTTGCCTGTACCATCCACTGCAGTTTCCCGGCCGGTAACTGGTGGCGGACACCGGTGTCCGCCACCAGTCAGTAAGTCAGTAAGTGAACAGCGTTCACAATTGCCCCAAGATTAGGTTCACAATTACCCCCACATTATAAAATATTGAGGGTAATTGTGAATTTGATAAAATAAAAAGAAAATTGCTTACAGAGGATGGATTGAGGATATATAATGCATTATACATTTGAAATTCTTTCATAATTACTGGTTTTCATGTTGATCTGACTTTTACTTTTTTCACAAAAAAAATATTTGCAAAGGTCTACGCAACTTGTTTGTCAACGAAAAACGCAACTTTTTTTTCAACCTAAAAAAAAATGTTTAAGCGGCTCTTAACTTTCTAGAATTTTTATCCTGTATAGAAAACAAACCAAATAAACATAAAACATCGATTTCTACTCAAATCAACAATACACTAAGAAATTACAGCCCTAGTTCACAATTCCCCCAGTTCACAATTACCCACAATCACCCTATTACAATTATAATCAATAAAACAAGCATTAATACATCTATTGACTTTTTTACATTTAGTTACTTATACAAATATCAAATCACGTTTGTTCCGCTCAACTGGCTTTCACCTCTCTGAAAGCAACCCTAGTTTATGTATCGTAGTTGATTTATTGTATTTTCATAACAGCACCAAAGTCCATTTACTTTTAAAAATCTAGTTATTTATTGCATAGGCCTATATTGTAACTCTGATTTTGCTCTCATGGCGTTGTGTGTGGTTTTGCCTGTTTAGTATCGAATGTAAACAACTGACAGCTGTTTCCACTCCACAAACC